CACTAAAGACTATTAGGTTTCCTTAGTGGACTTCATCTTACTTTAATTTTAAATTACTTGCAACATAAGTGGCATTTTAAATGTCCTTTTTTATCTCTGGAGCTATTCCTTGTTATGAAGTTCAAACTGTATGATACTACTTTTAATGAGCAAATATTTTCCATGTTTTAATATATTTGTTAGTATCAACTTCTTCTTTGAGTTGCATTGGCATGTTCCCATCTAAAACCATTTGCTTCTAGCATGAGGAATTACTTAACTGTTTTTGTGGCCCAAGTCTGATAATAATAAGTTGCTCAGATTTTGTCTCTATTGTATTTATCTTGTCTTTGGATCTAAAAAATATTTTCACTGCACGTAGAATTCTAGATGTTATTTGTGTGTTTGTCTTCTTTTTCTTTTCCATTATAAATGTGATATTTCATAGTCTTGTGGCCTGTATCTGTTCCAATGCTATTCCTAGTGAATTCTTAAGTCTTTTATCCTTGTTTGTAACATCTTTTTCTTTCCAATCAATTTAAACAATGTTTTTCCCATCATCGTGAGTTTTGTACATCTGTCTTTATTCTTTTTCTACATGCTTGCTTCATACTTTTTAAATTTGATATGTTTATAATTTTTGTTAGATTTAAAATATGCTTGAGCACCATGCCTACAAGTAATAAGTATAACCTAATTCCCTTTTCTGACATTCTGATCACACATGTGCAACTGTAGCAAGTATTTCTCGTGAGTTATAAATGATGTTTCTTTTCTCTTTTATCCTTTTTCTCCTCTAAATTTCAGATTAGCTTTGAGTGTACTAACATCTTTTACAAAGTCCAATATGCTCTTAAACTCACCTGGTGAGATTATTGTTATAGATACTTTATTTTTGTATTCTGAAAAATATAATTTGCAAATTTTTCATAGTTTCTGTTGCTCTTCGGTATTACATTTTTAAAAAATTATAGTAGGTCTTAAGGCTTGACCTGCTAATGTCATCATCTCTATTATTCTTGAATCTCATTTTATTGAGTGATTCCCCCCCCCTGATTATGATAGATCCCATTTTCTAATTTCTTTTCATTTTGGTTTTTGAAACAAAGTCTTGCTACGTAGTCGAGGCAGGCTTTGAACTTGCCACGTACCCAGCATGGCCTTGACTTTGTGACCGTCCTATGCTGGCTTCCCAAGTATTTACTTCCATTTTCACTTTTCCAGTAATTGTTGATTGGATTCCAGACATGATCAATATGGTGTTGCTGGATGACTACCTTGTTTCATTCTTCATTGTTGAATATTGCATTTCATTTTGCTGAGGAGTTATTTTTAAATAAAATGGACTTACTGAAACCTTTTTAAAGCTTTTTGAGAGTGGATCTAAAGTAACTTTAACTCTGAGACTAGTTAAGCTTTAATTCTTGTATGTGGCCTTTCTAGGTTCTTTTCTGTGTGCTCAAAAAGATCTGACCACTCCGAGTACATACAATTCTTACGTCTTCCGGTCCTATCTGAGTCTAGGTGTTGTAAAGCACAGAGGCCTATGCAGTTTTTTTGTTTCTTGGCTGACAGGAGTATCTTGCTGCTAGCTGGAGGCAGAATTTCTCCCGCAGCTTCACAAGCACACCTCTGCTTGGCTTTAGATCTTTTCTGTGTAGTTTGCTTTCTGCCGTGCCTCTTAAAACAGATGCCAGCTGTCTTGGCCAATTTGAGCTCCATTTCTTTATGTCTTCATCTCACTGAACCCTCATCCTTTGTGCTCTGCTCAGGTTCAGCCACCCAGTGAGGGGTCTGGAGAGTATTTTCAGGCTGAAAACGATGCAGTTTTAGAGATCATATCATTCGTCCTCTATTCATTAGTTGAGAATTGTTTCATATATTGCCTATTTGTCTATGATAAGAGAGCTAGGATATTTCCAGCGAATTCAGTCATGGCCAGAAGCCAACACCCTTGAAAACATGTTTTAAAAACAAAAACAAAATTAGAGAACCATCACATACCCAAACTAGTGAGTCTTAAAGTTAGTCTCCTATTAAGTTGATGTGGATTTGTATGTGTGTGAGTGTCATTTTCTGCAGGATATTGAAGACCAAAATATGAATTGAATCTAAATATCATATTTTAGCAATCCCAAGAGGATTTGTCAGGCATTTTATTGGAAATCTTTGGTGAATATTTCTTCATATTTTTGCCATGAAAATATGTTGAAATACTAGATTAAGAGGTTTTCATTGATCACTGTGTAAATCTAGGCCAAAAGGACTTCTCAGACTCTCTAATAAGTTCTAGATAAATACAACATAAATCTGTATTGTATGCAAAACATTAATTTTTATCAAAACACTTTTAGTTATCTACAGTTGATCCACATGGCAATAGTTATTTGGAAAATCTTGAGAGTCTTCTAACGATATATTTCTTCTTTGAACTAAAATTTTAAAATATTAATACTTGTATATTTTTCATAAATCTGAAAAATGCATATATGTTTAATTTTTACTTAATGTCTCAATTTTAATATTAATTGCTTAATATATAATTAAGACTTTACAAATCCCTTGGTAGAAGTTAAGATGGACAAGGTAGGTTTTAATAATTCATTAACATTTTGCTTATATTAATGGCAATACAAGCAGCAAGAATCCTTCAGTGGACTTGATATAAGATAACTAAAAAGGAATACAAGTAACTAATCAACAAATGAAAATGAAATCAACATCATTAGTGCAAAGACATCATTAAACACAATAAACTAGGCTTTTCAAACTTGAGCTCCTAGTATTTCTCCACAACCATGCTCTCTTGATACTTTTTTATTTGCCAAAACCCCATTATTTGCCCTTATGCTCCACTTTCTCATCTGGACCCCCTGGCATCCTGTGTAGTGGTTTCTTTCAGTCAAGACAATCCAGTCTTCACATATTCTGTCCGTGTGACCCTCAATGTGTCTTGCTATTACTCTATATACTGTCTTCATTCAAGCCTCCATTAGTCTCACTTTGTGTTCTAAACCATCTTCCCTGCACAAACCCATTTTTCTTGTAGCATTTTTCAAATTCTTCTATTAAGGTTCTGTGTTTTTTGCTAGGAAAATCCTCAGAGTGCCTAAAAAATCTAGACGCCCTTGCTCCCCGGCCTCCTCTCTTCACGCTCTGCTTCCTTACAGCTGACTTCATGCACGCTTCTCTTCCCAACCCAGATCAAGCAGAATGGAGTTTGAGGATGTTCCCAATTGTTCTCTCACTCAGCCTTAAATATTTTTTTCTTTGCTTCCCTTTTCCCTGTAAACTAACTCTCTCAGGAAATAATATTCCTCAGACAAGCCTTTCTTGATTCTCTTCACTATTGTCAGTGTGTCACATGTTCATTCCATATATCCATTCTTCTGTTGATGATCAGATGAATGGCTAAAAGAAAATATGTTTATTTATGCACTGTGGAGTACTATGCTGCCATAAAGATAGACTGAGTCATTTGTAGGAATACAAATACAACTTGAGATCATATTAAGAGAAATAAAGTAGACACACAGGCTTAAATATCACTTTTCCTCTATATGAGACATCCAAATTATATGGAGCAAAATAAAAGATAATAGGAAGCAGAATGATAGATATTCCTCAGCTAATGAGATCAAAAGCTGGAGAGGAGTAAAAGGGGATGAAAAGAAGAATTAAGTTGTACTAACTTCATACTTGAAATGTAAGCATTATGTACTACAAACACATACTAATGAAAATAACTTTTTAAAGATTAGTTACTTGTATAACTTGTTGCTTCTTTAATTAGGTTATAAACTCCTTGATTATAGAAAACATATCTATGTTTTTCATTTTTTAGGATTCTAGAACATTCTATTTCCTAAATTATATCTTATACTAATAAGTAGTAAGTCAATGAAGATTAATTTCTACATTACCAATAGTTCCAGTGAACTTTTCAGAAATGGTCAATCTTTATGAAAATTAATTTTAGGTTGTTTTACAGACTCTTACATGTTGAACTTTTTTGCTTCTATAATTACAAATCTGGAAATTTATTGAAGGAACATAGGAGATGTACAGCAAACTTATGTAAGCATTATCTACAATATAAAAAACTTTGAAGTACTCAAATAACCAATAAATGGAAATTAGTTTAAATAATGAATTGTGATAATTTATTAGTGTAGATTATAAAATGTTCTGTATAAGTAATATGTATTGAGCCTTCCACAAATCTTCATGTGTGTGTCCTTTAGAAAGAGAATACATTAATGTGAGAGTGCTCACACACATTAATTAAAGTTAAAATCATCTGGAAGAAAGTAGTAAGTTAAAATCATCTGGAAGAAAATTAAAATGTGTCTTTCAAATGGCAACCATGGCATCTCTCTTTCATATTATAAAGGAGGTAATTTTAAGTAAACAAAGTTATTCTGTGAAAACTTATACAAACAGTGACTGTTTATCAATAGGAAGTGACACTTAATTTTCATTCTTTTTATACCAAATTGCACATGATTGGTAGTATGTCTCCACTTTTAGAACCAATATATTATTTTTGGTAGTACTATATATAAGCTGCATTTTGATCTGTTAGCTACTAGGCTGTGTAGGTGACCGTTCCTTAATCACACACTTTTCTAGATAACTGTAGGGAGACACACAGCATGTGTTAAGAGGAGGTGCCAGCCTTTCCAACATTCCCAGAATTATTAGCTAGAGGAGATCTACGCAGATGGCTTAACACAATGATATGTCAACGCATAACTGAATAAGGGTCAAAGTATTGTACACACAGTGTGAGAAGGAGGATGATGTGGCTGGGTCGGTGTGAACATCTTCAGAAAAGGAGAGCCTGCGGCGTGTGCCATGATCGTGGATGTCTCCCAAGAGGAGATGCCTCACGTTTTATATCAGGATGTGTTGAACCATTGCTTTAGAAATAAATGGAATGCTTTTAACAAGTAATGAGAAGTAGATGCTTATGGATAATGCTGAGCTGTTAATAGCATAACTTTTGAACTTTTTCATAGCTCTCCGCGATGCTGGCAAACACTCTATTAACAGTGACTGGAAGATCGAACACTCTGGGGCGTTCAGTTTAGCTGGCACTACTGTCCATTACGTAAGACGAGGGTTATGGGAGAAGATCTCCGCCAAAGGTCCCACCACAACACCTCTGCACCTCCTGGTAAGGGGGAAAGAACTGTTAACTTTGCATTGTCATTTTTCGTGGCAAAGATGTTCCTACCGTTTGCTCTCTATTCTTGCTTTCCAAATTCAAGTTGTCATATAGGCATTCCAAATTACTTAAGCGGTGAACTTTTGGCACTATTTAAAATGTGCTTTAAACCATGATGTCTAAAGACGATCATTACTACAAGTGGAACAGGATGTGATAGGGAATTCACAGACTTAAAATAAAAATGCGTTACTAAGGAATAATATATCCATTTTTCATAGAAACATTCATTTCCTAACCAAAGTGGGTATCTATAGAAACATTGCTATAATATAGCAAATGATAATATTTTGTGTCAATATCAAATGACCTCTGACTGAGCCTATTTAAATGCCTTTGATGAATTGTAATTTTGCCTGAGAAAAAGAAATTTTTAAATGGGTCAAATAGTGCCATTGGTGACTCTGTTTTCTCATTAGCTTAATGGATTTCTCTAATGAATTATGAAAATGTGAATGTTTGGGATGACAAGATTTTTACCAGAGTAAGAGGATTAATGTGAGTCAGGAGAGAGTTTGGAGAGAATTAGAAAAATGAAAGTGTGTCTAAGCTCATCATCATGCTCAAGTGCATCATGCTCAAAGATCACCTTTGGATCTCACCTTTGATGGTCAGAAACCTGGCTACAAGTTTTGTATTCTAGCACAAAAGCAAACCTAGACTTTAGCCACTTTGGAACATCCTAAATTGTATACATCAGGCGGCTCAAACATGATTAGCTGTCATTATTTGGAGTGTGATATGACATTACTTAATGTGTTCATACAATTTAAGTTGAATATGTTCTCAGTTGGAAACATCTGTGTTGCTAGTGTAGAGGTTAGAGGTTCAAGTCACATATTGATCCATTTGTTTCTTCAACTTTAATGAAGATGCAAATTACCTGAGGTTCTTGTAAAATACACGTGCTGTTTCATTAATTGCCAGGACCTGAGATTAAGATTTTTAATAGGTTTCTACTGATGCCACTCTAGCTGATAGTGGACCACAATCTGAATTTATGAGGTTTTATGAAATTGCAATCTATGCATTTTGCCAGCATGAATAAGGAGGCAGTGTGAGTTGTGTGATTCCATTTTATTATAATTTTAATATCCACTATTCAATGAACACTGAGAATTACTGGCCAAAAGTACCTTGCATTTATTACAACATTTGATCCTCACAAGAACTCTGTCTCACACACACACACACACACACACACACACACACACACACATACACACATATATTATTACTGCTCCATTTTACAGACTGAAAAGAACCATGCATGAGGAAAGTTAAGAAATGTGCATGGTGTTGTCCAGTAAGTTATTTAGAGGAGAATAAAAATTCATCTTTGGATGCTGCCCTTCCTGAATAAAGCTTAGATTTTTATACCAAACTGAAAATTATTTTATATTCTCCTAACAATTCCTTTGGATTCAGTCATATAATTTCAGTTTGAAAAAACCACTGTGTCCTGTTACACTTAGAAAGAGAGGAAAAAAATTATTACCATCATGTGAACAATATTTAGTTTCTTCTATAACTGTGTGTCATTCAATAACATCAAGAACAAACATTTTTAATGATTGACATTTAGAAAAATACCATTAAGCTTGAGTTAATGTAAGTGTAACCTACAGTTTTGACATTTTTTTTTTTTGGTCTTTTTCTTTTTTTGTGGAACATGGCCAAGGTTCTTGTACTGAGCCTCTTCATATTTGAAAATCTTAAAAAGTAGTGTCTACGAAACTTCAGTGTTAGGATGAAGGAGATTTCTTGGTACAGAATCCTTGATCTGGCTGGTAATTACCAAGGTTTTTCCTGGAACCGCGAAGCATAATTAAAGTCAGTGAATTATGTCTAAAAGAAGGCATCTGTATGACCTGGATTTAGTCAGTAATCCAAGGGAAACTGCACTTGTAGGATACTTTTCTGTAATGACTATTACAGATTGAAAGCTGGTCCCGAGTTTTGCAAGGCGAGCCTGCCACTGCCATGCCTGCGCCCTCTGCTGCCTCGCGGTCACACTTTCCTTCCTGCAGACAATGCTGCCAAAGTCAGATGGTTTCAAAAATAGCTAATGGTTTTGTAGCCCATGTCTCTGTTTTAAATGGCAGCAGATATACAAGAACAACCTGAGTTCTATCAATGAAGAGGCAGTGTTTTAGGAAAAATAGGCTTGTTTTCACATAACTGCATAGATTGGCAAATAGCTGTTATTTAATGTTCATTCTATCAATTTAAAATAGCTATAAACAAGGTAAGGGATTTTTGAAAAAAAGTCATTAAAGTCTTTCTTTTAAATTTACTAGGCTAAAAAATAAGTAATCAACATCAAATGACGTATTTAAATCAAAATAAAAATAAGTAATCAACATCAAATGACGTATTTAAATCAAAGTATATTACTTTGATCCTCAGGTTATAAATTTTTTTCATTATTGATATGTATTTCATAAAGGCAAAACACTAGTTTCCCGTTCTACACAGTAAAATAGCTCTACTCATGTACTGAACAAAATCTTGAGAAAAAGAAGTAAAGAAAATATACTTCAACCCTTAACCCTCATATCATTTAAGGTTCTCCCATGCAATGTTAACTCTGAATTGTCTGTTATTATAGCTACCTAGATACAGCTTAAACATTGAACAAAGTTCCCTAACATTTAGCAATAATTGAAAATGTATTTATATATATATATATTTTTTTTTCTCTATTGTATTATTTTTAGTACGTGTTTACAGAACATAATGATTCCATTCATCATGAGATAGAGGTAGATAGCACATCTTATTTTTTTTTTTTTTGGTCTGCTCCCCCCCCCATTTACAAAATCTCTATTTCTATTTTTTCTTTTTTTGAATTCCCTTTTTCCTTCCTTCTCTTGTTCCCCTTCCCATTTGCACAAGATTTTCCTACTTCTTCATATCACTTCCTATTCTACTTCATGTTTTCACTTTGGATTCTCATTCAAGTGAGTAATGCAATGTTTAAACTTATTTGCTGATCTGTTTCACTTAAGATTATAGTCTGAAAGTGGATCCATTTACCTAAAAGTCCCTGAAGTCTTTATTATACAGATTCCTCCTCCAGATCTTCATGTTTGTAAAACTGATACAATTTATGTGGTTACTTGCTACGTTTTCTGAAAGTGAATTTATAAAGAAACACATTGCCATTCTTTATTTCAGTGAAAAATATCCACATAGACACAGATGTGTCTATGTATAGTCACTAAATGTTTGTAATTGTCCATTACGATTCCAAGTTTGGATCGGGTACCCATGGAGAACAAAACAGACTCAGACTTTGCCAGTGGTTGCATTCAGAGTACTCAGAGTTGAGATCTTCTCATATTCCCGTTACAGTTTATTGAACTGTTTATATATATATGTACATAACTGTACAGCTACTAACATTTAATTTTATTTTAACATACATTGATTTTCAAAGGAAAATATCTCTACTACAAATGGAAAATCAGTTGCCAAAATTTATAGTTACTGACACATGCGTGGAATAAGATTCTTATTCTACAGGTGGCTTAGAAGTTCTCATTCTTACTTTGTACCTGATTCCTGCAACCCTTCACCCTCCTCCTGTGCTATCTCAGAAGCTTCCTATGTGTCTTTTGTTTTTGTATGAGTTCAAGGAGCACAGATGACATTGTGCAATAAGTCATAGTTAATACTGAGACTCTCATGTCTGCACCTTTCCCTCAACTCCCACTGAAGTTTTCACACATGTTCCTTGCTTTGGGAAATCGCTGTCTATCAGACTGAAAGAAAATGATCAGATATCTCTAACCTCATTCAAGTGAGCATCACAGGTAAGTGTATAGCTCCAATCTTTTCAAAAGTATGGCAGTGTTAACGTTTAAGAGTGCTATCACATTTGTACTACACATTAGGGAATGTTCACTATGAAATAAGCATTTTAAAATATCAATATCTTTAGTTTTATACTTTACATTAAATGTGCCATAGTCTGAGCCCTCTTCCTTGATTGTCTCTGTATACTTTAGGTGCTTCTTTTTCAAGATCAAAATTATGGTCTTCACTATGAATACACTGTCCCGTTAGATCCGCTTCCGGAGAATCAGAGCTCTAAAGCACCCGAGCCTCTCTTCATGTGGACGCACACAGGCTGGGAGGACTGCGATGCTACGTGTGGAGGAGGTGATTTGAAAATATTTCTCTCCAAAACAGCAGCTTTGATTAACCGATGATAATTAAGACAGATCCCAAATCCTCAATCTACAGTTCCAAAAGTCATAAAGAATTTTAATGGCATATGCATTGACTAAACCCCCACACTACATTGTGGGGAAATCTGATTTAAACTGAGAAATGGCACGGTGCTGTTCCATACTTCACCTAATATGACTACTCGTTGTATTGTTTAAATATTAATGCGTTTGTGTTTAACATATCAAATTTCCTACATACCGTTGAGGCTTTAATGTAGTGTATGTGCAGTGCATTTATTCCATAAATCTTACTAGTCTTAAGATCTCGAGCTGCCACCAGAATGGTGGACATGAATTGGATGTAAGTGTGCAGCAGCTTTGACTTTGCCAGACATACAGAATGTGTAAAGATAATAACATAATGATCTTAATTATTCAGCTTGCTACTTGAAAAATGTGTCAGTATTTTCCATAAATATACAACCATCCTGAAATTGTGCTCATAGGTTTTTATTTTGATTTTTAGATTAAAGGTTAAGGAGGTAAAAGAACCAAACTACTTCAGCATTCTATAGGGGTCTAAGAAATCACTTAATCTTCATGTCACAAATGAGGCATTTGTGTCCCACAGGTTAAGGGAATTGCTGTGGCTCACAGAAGCTGTCAATAGGAAGGGAAAGACCGTGAGACTACCAGCTTCCATGTGAATACTAGTGATCCACAGCTCCTATTTCAGTTCTCATATCTGCCTAATAACATTTTGTACAGCACTATGTAAGAGATGACTTCCGAGGCTAAAAGTTTTATATATATTCAATATATAAAAATATATATGATGCATGTATGTGCTATAGTTAATATGAAATGATTTGCACAAAGAAGTGACCCACATATTTGCTTTCTGACCGAAAGAATTGTTGATTTGTGTAGCCTTCATGGTGTCACAGCAGAGGCTGGGGAAAGTGCAGAAAGTGGCATGTGAGAGAATGTTTGGGACAGAACACACAGACCACATACCAGATCTTATTACACTATGCTAAATGTGGGGACATAAGAGATAGAGAGTTTTCAAGTGGGAAGGGGACCAGGGTAGTGGGAAAGAGAGGGAGGGGAGGGAAAGGAGTACAGAAAAGAAGAATGAAGATATTTATGTATATATGCCACCTCTCCATGAGGAATGTAATTGTTATTTACTCAATCATGTACTAATAAAAAAAAACATTGAAAAATGTGAGAATATTGGATACTAAGTTACTACATAAATAATGCAGACTAAGACCATTGAATTTAAATCCATAGCAATTACATTAAAAATGTGTAGTGATTGTTTTAAAAATTTGAAACCTGAAGATCGGGGCTGGCCCTGTGAAAAGGAAGGGAATATACACCGTGAGAGGCTGTTGCTGTTTGTAAGAGGAGCAAGTATGCATCTTGCTTGTCAATGTGTGTTTTCTAAAATAGAACAGAAACGTAGTATAAAGCAAAAAAGAAAAAAAGTACTGGAACAATGTCCAGCTGGGACACGATGGGGCAGTCCGTGTAGACAGAGCTCTGGGCACCCATCACCAGTAACGGGGAAAGGCGAGTGCTAAGAGCTCAAAGTGCTGTTCTTCCAGTGGCCTGCGTCTTTCTGAGCGGGAGGGTGGGGCAGGAGTCACTGGAGCTTTGAAAAGAGAGATGCAAAGTGGCGACTTTGAGAATGAGAGCTTAAATGGAATGTGGACATTTATTTTGCTTGTGTTGTGTTAACAAATGGTTCACATGAAGGTGATGGTGGCGGATTTAGTATGACATCAGTGTTCATGACAATATGCTGCTCTCCAGCCCTGCAGAGCATGCCAGTGCTCTATTGGATGGTGTCTGAGAATTTCTGAATGTGATAAAGTCAGAGAGGAGTAAAGGGTTATCCTGAGATTCTGTATGACAAGTTGAAAATGATGAATCTAAAATTAAGTTGTATGCGGAGAGAAACAAATCCGTAAAGTGCTTAAAATATGATGAAAAGGTAATAGGATTCAAAGGCCTTGGTAAGAGTGAAGAATGTTTGAAGTAAGGTGCTGAGAGTACAAGAGGTTAATGATAAAAGTGACTTTGTGCTGCAGTTACTGTGACTATTAATAAGACCATGGAAATAATGGTCAAAACTAAAGTAACAAAAGTAAGGTTTTCAGGAAGAGTGCTAAGAATTGAGAAGAGGTGACGTGGGGAGAATCATTCATTAATCGTTTGTAGTTCTAAGAATTGTTCCAGGACGGACATTACAAAAAAAAAAAAAAAAAAAAAAAAAAAAAAAAAAAAAAACTAAATAATATAAAATCTAAAAGGAAAGAGTGGGCAGAGGGTAGGGGCTGGTTTTTAACTGTAAGAAGGGTAAAGCATTACATAGTCCAACCCAAAGCTGGAGGCAGAGACCCACTCTGCCTCTAGTTCAGAGGTCCTGGTCAGCACGAAAATGCTGGGCTCAGTGGAGATCTGCAGAGCATCCAAGGGACAGTCCCCTCAGGAGACAGCAGGAAAGTGCTGGAAACATTCAAAAGATGCAGAGGTGGGAGCAGCCTCCTTTGCCAGAGTGTGCAGAGCTTGGGGGCTTGGACCTGACCCCTGCAACACCCTGTCCTCTAGGGTGGGGCCAGTGAATGGTGAGATTATGCAGCACATGCTGTGCTCTGAGGATACGGTGTAATCACAACAAATGGATTTCAAATCGCCCCCAACCCAGAAAGAAAGGAAGGAAGGAAGGAAGGAAGGAAGGAAGGAAGAAAGAAAGAAAGAAAGAAAGAAAGAAAGAAAGAAAGAAAGAAAGAAAGAAAGAAAGAAAGAAAGAAAAGAAAAGAAAGAAAAGAAAGAAAGAAGGAAAGAAATCTCAGTCACAGGAGAGTTCAGACTCTATCCTGGGCCCGCACACTGCTACACAATTCAGTCTTTGCATCCTGTTAGCTTCTCCTGTTGACACCTAATCTACACCCAAATTCCTCTTACTCTTCTGCCCGCTCTTTACTGATGCTGCGTCTCTGTTTCTCATCCTCTGCAAAAAACACAAACCAAAGCAAATACAGTCACAATAGAAATCTACACATATGTCTGTGTACTGTAAATGTAGTCATGTTGTGTTGGCCGCTGACCCTGGTGGCAGAGGGCTGTGGAGTTGGGGGAAGTGATGGAGAGGCCTGTGGTTCACCTGATAACAATGAAAAGCAGTCACCGAAACCTGTTTATATTTTGAAAGCTGAAAAGGAAAATGTTTCCCCAGTGAATTAAATTATCCTCGATTACTTTTCTTCTGTGGTTATGATCTAATGCAAGCTGTATCAGAATTAATCAAATATATAAAATTTTCAGTATTCAGTTTAAGAAGGCAAGTTTTTAAGGGTTAAAAATGTCCCCCAAAATATGAAATATATCCTAGAATATTGTGCCAACTTCTGTTAATGAATAGACACTATAAATTCTTTTGTTTCAGAGTGAATAGAAATATCAAGTATTCTTAAACATGATTTCTTAATTATACGCATACAAAAACTTAAGTGCATAGTTATTAAAGGACTTTCCAAGATTGTGCTGACCAAGTGGATAGAGTCAGGGTTAGAATTCCTGATTCCTAAGTTCAAGTTCTTTCATCACTATCGTACAAACCTGCCTTCTTCTGTTGACAAGGAGGGAGTCCCTGTAGTTTCTTTTCACCAAACAGAGCAGGTCCCCTGGAAATACTTTGCATTTTCTTTGGATTAAAAAATGTTTTATTAGATCATTTTAAATAATAATTTGGACATGCCTTTATTTCTTATTTTAAATGTCTGATTTTATAACATACTCCCAAGGATATGTAGCTCCTGTGGAATTTGTGCTTATGTGACCTGTCTGGATTCTGTCCCAATGGGCATAGTGTATGGTCTCCAGTTATCTCTGGTTGTGTTAACAGGACCCAGATTCATGTCAGTACCAAAATATTTCTGGGCTTTTGTATATGTGTTCCTTTTCAGTTTACAAATAAAGTGCACGGGCATGATTTCAAGAATTGCATTGCTTCTAACTTCATATTGTCAATTTTAATAGCCAGAAAGAGCTTTCTGATCTTTCAGTATACTCATGATTTAAATGAGAGTACCTTCACAGTATGGAACATTGGAAGCAGATTCATGCAGATTATTTTCAGAAGCAAAGAGGAATAATAATAATAATAATGATAGCATTATTCTATTTCACAGGAATATATTTAGCAATAGAAAATGAAATGTCACTGGGCAATATAAAGTTTCAATGTTTGGCATTATTCTAATTCTGTTTTAAATTACTAGGTTCTCAGTAATATGTGGGAAAAAAATTTAAAAGTATCTATTGTCTTGCTAAATATTTTTGCTAATAATCTTTTACATAAATACTTCAAACCACGTTTTAAAATTGAGGCAAACTAATTCACTATTTGTATTACCTTGTGGGAGTTAGTAGACAAGTAAGACCTAAGCTATGAATGCTCTTTTTCTGACACTCTACTGACAGAGCTATTGAAGCTCTAGGAATGTTCTCTTTTAAAAGAAATTTAAACATATCTAACAAATATTGGTGATCCCCAGTAAATTTTCCAACAACTTAACATATGTATATACGATTATATTTTTTCTACCATACTCATCATCATAGTTCCTTCAAACCTGATGGCAATCTACAAAAAAAAAAATCTATCTCTGATATACATAAGAATATGTATATCACATACAAATAATAGCGTTTCCATGTAACTTTTAAATCTTAGTTGTATTTTCATAGGCATAATTTGTCTGAAGCTGAGAAATACATTTGTCCTGAGTCCAATGATTTTCTTCAATGAAAGTTTTAAAAAACAAGGTTGAGGACCTTCTAACTGCCAAAAACTTACGACATTCCTTGCTATAATATGGACAAAAATGTCGTAGCCATATTTACACGCCCTCATATTTTCTTAACATTACTAATGTGCTCTCTAAAATGATATAAATGATCTTATCTCTTGGTATATTAATTTTTTCAATATCTATGTGGAGGATATGGGGCAACATAACTAAGGCTAGGTACCTTGTGAAAAAATAATGCAATATAATTAATACACATTTACTCTCTGACTTTATATGTGTTCCTTGAAAACTTTTCAGATTATGTGTTTTTCATATTTCTATCTAATATTTGGAAAAATGGCATTATTTAAATTAGCCAGGCACGTTTTGTGAGAGTATTTTATAATTATTAGTGTTTCAAATTAGGTTTTAAAACTAACATTTATATTTCATAAATGTAACATTCATCTATTTAATGTAGAAATTATACTTAACATATGCTTTCTGTTGTAGTCAGGGGTCACAAGGAGAACAATTACATACCAGACATATAATTTATAGTATTATTTAAAATGGTCACTCAGGGAGTCAGATACAAAGGAAGTGCAGGATATCTGTCCACAATGCTAAAGACCTAGAAAATCCAGCCAACAGCCTGAGTCCCATAACAATAATATAAAGAGTTCAGATAAAAACCCACTGTCCCAATGACAATGACCTATGCAAGTGTATCCCACGGATCTGCGCTGGGAAGGCCCAAAGGTCAGCAGTGGAAGCTAGAAAGCCTGTGCCAGTATGGTGAAGGATCTATGCCAGCAGGCTGAGTTTTGTGTGCTAGAGCCAAGAAGTGATGCTTAAAATAAGGACCAGGGCTCCCCTGAAAAGTACCACAGCATCTTCAGTGACAGTGAGGTCCCAAGTTCCTCCAACAAGAACAGCCAGGTACATATCAGGAAGCTGGCATGACAAGTTTCTCCTGGAAATTGAACAACACACATCTTCCCATTTGGAGCCATCAAGTGGTGATCAAAGTAAAGACTAAAGCTCCCCAAAGTAAACTGCAGCCATCCTCAGCAACAAGGTCCCAAGATCCTCCAGTGATAACTGCCAAGTTCATGTCAGGAAAGCCATCATGACAGGCTCTTCCAGGAGACCCAACGGCTCCAAATAACAACACTTAAGAGAACCCACAATGCTACTCTTCCTCTCCATGTCTCCTTTTTATGCTGGCAGAGGTCCTCAGAAGGCCCATTCTTAGCACCACCTTGATTTAGTTCACCTGGTGTTTAAATTGATCACGTTACCAATCACTCCACTCATGATTTGCATAATATACATTTAATATGCATAAAGGGGTTCCTGAAATATAGAAACCAGAAGGAAGTTTACTAAAAATCCCGAGTATTTTGCATTTAGCTATCTCCGATCAGTGGGAATCATCTGGAAAGTCCACTTTGTATTTGCTGGTCATGGAAGCTTGCCTTTCCTCTGCAAGGGAGCATCAGGCTTTAGAACTCTGAGGGCGTAGCTGTTGCTTTCAAGTAGGCAGTTCCTGCATGACTTTGTAGTCAAGGGTACTGTTACCCAGTCGCGCTTCACTTACTAACCCATACCTTTGATGCTGGTAGCAACAGTAGCAGTTTTATAACGCAATTATGTGCAGGGCATACATTTTTCCGAGTCCATCCATATTAAAAGGGCACATTCTAACCTGTGGCTGTAAGTCTGTTTCAAGGCCCTCCCTACTGTTGGTCTTGAAGATGCACATTTCAGAGTGACAGGGCCCTGAGGAGATTCCCTTGCTCCCACAAAGGGAAATGTGGCCTGTCTGGTCCTCTGCTGTCTGCACTGAACTCTTATAGACTCCAGCAGAGCCCTAGGAGTTCTCAGAAAGAGAATGATTCAGACAATGTTTACTACCTCTGAAGCTCTGCTTTTTTCAGTAACATGATTTGCTATAATCTCAGATAAAATTCCTAGCTGATCCGTGTCTGTACATAGATGCCATTGTGTTCCTAGACTGGGAATTGCAGTGGGACCGTGGTCAGTGTTGTTGAGATGGAAATGAAGATCCTAAATCATACCTATTCTTTCACTTTTATCTCATGATGCCATTTTCTCTTCCCATCCCCCACTGAAGTTAAAGATATTTAAAAGTAATCAAAGTAGCTCTCATTCTGTCCTTTCTTTTCTTCTTCCTTTCCTAGCTTCCTCTTTCTGTTAATTGAGTGACACAGTGACCTCTGCAGAGCCAGCCTAGGCTTTCATGTTTGGTATGACCAGCACGAGTTGCTCTGAGCCTCCTAATTACTGCTGCATGACAGTCATAGGGGCCAAACTAATGGGCTATTCCATTGTGACCCAGAAGGCTTGCAATTTTTTCTTAATCCTTCATGACTGTCTGCCTTAAAAATTGTTGGATGATTTAATTATTTCATAGCATCAAACATAAAATATATTGTTATATAATACACATATATTTATCTTTTTATTCATAGGAAATTAACATATAAAACTTGCAGGGAAACAGAAATTAATACATATTTATTAGACTTTTTAAGTCAACAGTAAGGAAATGTGCAAGTATGCAAAATGAATGCAACATGCAAATAGCTATTTCTGTCTCCTAAAACTAGATTGTATCATAGAAAAGAAAGTAAAAAGTTGAGTTTTATGAAATATTCTGAAAGATAGTAAGAGTCTCTCATTTCTTAGAAAAAAATCACAACTATTTGAGAATAAAGACTTCTAAAATTCATGGGGTCTTTTCCAAGGCAACAAAAATAAAGATCAAAGTATATTAAAATAAGCTTGCTGCCTGTAATTCACTATGAGCACTGACAATGTACATACAACCAAATGATGCAGTGTGCGCGTATGCGTGCCTATTTAAATTCATTCTATAAGGGGAGCACCTTCCATGCAGCCTTCAACCACTCAGTGCTAAAAGGTGGCCACGATTCTTTATAATAGTTAACATCTTATAATTTATGACTCCTTTATTCCTTTGTAATGTAACACTTGCCATTTATATTTTACAGGGCAAAAACCTTAAACCTACAGATAAATTTTGTTATAAGTAGGATTATCCTCATTGATGCAACCTAATTTTTTTTAAATACCTATGAAAATTACAAGCCTGTGAACATGTGGGGAACCCATTTCACGAAGTCCTGTAACATTCCTTTATGTTTTTATTTGTTCTTTTCAGGAGAAAGGAAGACAACAGTGTCCTGCACAAAAATCATGAGCAAAAATATCAGCATTGTGGACAACAAGAAATGCAAATACTTAAGCAAGCCAGAGCCACAAATTCGAAGGTGTAATGAGCAGCCCTGTCAAACAAGGTAACCCCATTCCAGCAATCATTAGGGAACTCTTTGACCATTCCAGTGCTGTCCTTTGAAAAACAATTCTCAGAATAGTATTGAAAGCAATTTCTAAAAAGTTACAAAGGAATGTGCACCAAAACACAAACTTTTAAGTAACAAAATCAAAGAAACTAAGGCTAAGAATTGTCAACTTTGACTGTGTCCCCTGCCATGTGAAAAGAACCACTGAACAGAGGAGGGAGTAATTTAAATTATTTGGTCTCCTACCAGATAGCTCTTCAAAATCTGACTATGTGGTTGAATTTAGGTATTTATTTCTTAGTTCTCTGAAGTGTTGTGTTAGAACTAAGGCCAGTCAGGACCCTGACGCCAGGAGGGATAATGGGGTCCTTCTGTTGCCTGATTGGCTCCTCATTTCTCCCCCAGAGTTCTCAGCCCTAATTGCTCAATTCCTCCTCTCTGATGAAATTTTTCACCTGGGTCCTGGGTCCTGCAGTGAGTATTAGATACTAATATAGGTAGGCAACTTACAAATAGGAAATAAGATAACAATGCTCAGTAATTTGTAAGCAGGGCTACAAAGAAATGAGGCCATCCTACTTAGTGGAAGATGAAGCAGAGACACATGGTTGGAACCACAATATAATTTTGCGGTGGCTGGTGGCAAAGCTCCTTGGCATGGCTACTAACACAGGGCTGCTGAAATTCTGCTCGCTTTTTCATCTGAATCAACGGTGAGCTCAAGTGGGGCTCTGTGCCAGTGTCAAAGCTCCTAAAATGTTTGAAGGATGAGAAGACAGAGGTTGTGGGGCTGGACTCATTTTTCCTTTACCAGGCCCTCAGGGATTTGAGGTTTAGTGAGTTAGGCATAGTTTTGTGTTCCTAGAAACTCAGAGTAGATTCCTCCACCTTTGTAGCTCCTCAGTGGAGTTCTGGTGAATTTGCACACCTTACATGTGAGATATGCATACAATTTGTAGCATTGTGGACATATAATTAACATAATCAGCTTTATGATATTCTACCACAATGAGTAGGTATGGGAGGATGTTAAGGAAGAGCAAACAAATTTGCAGACTTTTTTGTCTTGCACTTTTCTGTCTTAAATAATACTCTTGAAATATATTATCATCTAAGCAAATATTCAGTTCTAGTTTCCCTAATCAATTTCCTCCCCCATTTCCTTATTTTTTTATTGTGAGTGCGCCCTATCTACCTTATTCTAAAATCTAGTTATTATACCCTTCCAATCTGGTTCATGCCATGTTACTGAATGTTTAAAAGATTTTAGAAAATGCTTTCTTCTTTACAGTGTTGAGTTTTCAAGGCGTGCTTTGTTGTGGGTTCAGTGAATTTTAAACATCAAAAGCTAACCATCATTCCTTTCTTTTTAGTCCTACATAACAGTCCTATACTCTCGCAAATACATAATGCAAAAGAATAAAACAATGGCATACTAAAAAGTGCAAAAAATGTGCATTAATATACTTTTAATAATGTCATATACATTGTACTTTCTGGAGTTTATATTTTTCAGTGAAACTCCTGAAGTAGGCAAGCTGGTCAAATTATTTTATAATACAGTTCAATAGCCATGTTGACTTACAAGTGTAGGTATTTTTAGATAAGATGCCAGTCCTTAAGTCATTTCCATACAGTTTTAGACAGACTTATATGCAGAAATTTTTGTCTTTCTCTTGTCAGCTAAAGAACATGAATTTTTGAGATAGCACTATTCCTAAGAATTCCCTTATTTATTTTCCTGTCTCCTTCAATTGATATTAAAATACTAAATTATTCTGAAAGATATTTATTAAAAATTTTTGGTTTTGATAATAGAACAGCAGCTTTTCCTAATATGTCAGAAATTTTCAATCAGTTGATTTGAGAACTGGAGCATATTAATCAATTTCCAATTTGGGCTTTGAAAGAGCAGAGTGTAACATATAGATCATTAATTGTGCCTTCATTGACCTCAGCTATTTTAGGTGAAAATGCTTCAATAATGACTTTGTAAAATGAAAAGTCTCAAAGGTCAGTACATGTCTGGAGGAGAAATTTTTGTAGTAGGAGACTGGAAAGATTTTGTTGTTGTTGCTATTGTTGTTAGAGAGTATTATCTTCCTTGCCTTGGAAAGAAGGACAGAACATTGTGAACCACCGATAACTGATGTCAGTGAGGTCAACTAAAAGTTTGGAAAGTAAGTAATGGACATAGACAGTTATTAAGAATCAAAACAGGAAAACCTTCCAAGACTCGTTGACAAAGAACAACCTTTATTTCTCTTTTTTTTTTCTTTTTTTCATTTTCCACCCTAAGAAAAAACATTCTAATTTTCATTCACATTTTTGAAAAAAATTCACTAAAGTATAGGTACCACCCTATGTTCACAACAGAAAAATGGACTGGCATACTAGTAAATAGGTTCATAAGAAGAAGGAGACTTAATGTTATGGAGATTGGGTCATTTCAAATTAGATAAATTCTAAAATACAGAAATACTTTGTCTTATTAGAATACATGTTGCTTCTGATTTTTTGGGCAGCTTTTAAGACATAAGAAAAGTAACTTATCATTTAAGGATCTGTGAAATAGCTCAATTTTATTTTTAAATGAGATTGTGTGAAATTACACATACTTCTCTTTTTAGATCTATTCCCAGAGTTCTGTCGTTGAAGGACAAGATACATAGGTGAATTAAATTACGATTATTTTCTGAATATTCTTATATAAAATATAAAACAGAAATTAAACTAAATTGGAAAACTAAATATTTATTGTGGGAAAAATCCACTGGAGGACACTAAAGCAAAATGATAGGTTGGCATTATACTCGATAAACCAAAAAACAAAATCTAGTCAATATTGAACTACAAATGTCATGATAGAATTTTTCTTTTATCAAAACAAGCATAAAATCATTCAGAATTACATCACTTTATTCATGAAAAAATTATTTTTAAATAATCGAGGGGCCGGAAATATAGTTCAGTAGCACAGTGCCTGCCTGGCAAGCACGAGGTTGTTTAGTTGGATCCCTGGTACAAAAAAAAAAAAAAAAAAAAAAGATTTAAATAATTGAGACTATGTGCAAAATAGAAGCCTAGTTTCATTTCAAGAACTATTTAGTGAAAAGCTATCGTATGAAAAGTGTTACTGATGCAGAATAACAAGGCGTTGGTCTATGCCCTTCAGGAATGTATATCCTACAAAGGAAGGAAGCCCAATTCCTAAGGTAGCCTTTGAGTCCCTGTGTGCCTCAGAAAGTAGCTAGTAAGCCCGGTGAGTACCACACACCTGGTGACAGAGCACAGAAGAAGGGAAGATACTACTGGTTGGAGGAAAAGACCATTCTGGAAAGAAGGGGTTAGAGCTAGTTTTCAGGAGTCCAGACAGCAGAACGTACATAAACAAATGTCAAGTCGTGAAACAGAAAGCTCTGGGGGTCGAGCAAAGGATATGGTTTATTTTTTAGACACGTAGAAGATAAAACTGGACCAATGTATGTATGCTTTAGCTATGCATTATTGTTAAATATTCTGAATGTCCATATCATCCCTAGGTTTTCCTCCATTTCTGTGACTTTGCTTTGTTCAATTTCAGTCACCCACAGTCAACTGTGCTCTAAAAATTTTCAATGGAAAATTCCCGAAATAAACCATGAACAAGTTTTAAATGGCGTACCTTTCTCAGTAGCATGATGGAATCTTGTTCCATTCTGCTTGGGACTCAATCACATTTTCATCCCACATTTTGTTCTGTAAACATTATCTGACCCATTGTCACCTTGTAGCCATCTTAGCTATCAGATGGCCTGCCTCAGTACTATATAGTGCTTGTGTTTAAGTAGCCCTTACAGAGACACCTAGTGCTGTGTTACACTGACTGCATTCACCTCACTCAATCTCATCACCTCACTTAATCTCATCTCTGTGAGATGTTGTATTATCTCACTTCACAAGAAGGAAGGTGAGTATAGTGCAATGGGAAAGGGAGGAGAAAAAAATGGGAAAGAGACAGACAAAAACACAGAGAGGGAATGGGGAGAGAAAAAAAATTCTTGAAGTAGATTTTGGTAGGTGTTTACTTTGTGGTCCTTAAGATAGAACTCATTTCTTTGAAACTGAAGTGACATATTACTACCTTGATGATTATAAAGAAGATTTTTAATTATTAAAATGGTGCAAATGCTGGCAGAGTGAACCAATGAAACTGAAAGATGCTGGAATTCTGAATATCTGTAAGATGATACTAAGTTGAATTCATATCTAAGTCTGCCTCTCCTATATCCTGTGATCACCTAGGCAGTGGAAGGCTAAGAAGCCCATTACAGCTCTCTCCGGAAGGATCATCTCCATCGTTTGGTAGATTATTAGATCTCTGTATACCTTTGCTTCCTTTTCTCTAAATGGCTGTGATAGTTGTAGCACAGAACACATAGGGCTGTTGTAAAGACTTACAATTCAAGGGGCTGGGGATTTAGCTCAGCAGCATAAACACCTGCCTTGCAAGCAGGTGGTCGTGAGTTCAATCCCCGGTACCATAAACAGAAAAAAAAGAAAAAAAAAAAAGTGTAAAAAAAAAAAAAAAAAGACTTACAATTCAAAGAATGGAAATAACTCCTGAATATTAGCAATTTTATACTTAATAGCACCTCAATATTGTACTATTATGAGCAATAAAAGTCAACCTGTAAATTCGCATGGACAGAATTTGAGATGTGCTTTGCAATTCTAATAAGAGCAAGCCCTTGACATAGGACATGGAATATGCAATGCGATAAAAAGCCAACAAGGGACCAGAGATTTGGCTCAGTGGTACAGTGTCGGCCTGGCAAGCATGAGGTCCTGAGTTCAATTCCCAGTAAAACACCACCGAAAAAAAGAGGCACAAGAAAATTATAATGTCAGTTTAAAATAATAATAAAAAGGAGTTTGTAACTTTCTGCTGACTCTGAACACGTCACATGTGTAGAAACCTTCTAACCTATTTTCAATGACCATCGCTTCACTTTTAGGTGGATGATGACTGAATGGACCACATGTTCAAGAACGTGTGGAAAGGGAATGCAGAGCAGACAGGTGGCCTGCACACAGCAGCTGAGCAATGGAACTCTAACCAGAGCCCGGGAGAGAGACTGTGCTGGACCTAAGCCGGCCTCTGCTCAGCGCTGCGAGGGCCAGGACTGCATGACCGTGTGGGAGGCGGGAGTGTGGTCTGAGGTACGGTGCACTCCGTTCCTTTACCTGTCCCTTCTCGGGCTCTTCAGCTCATACAGTCTTCTTGTGTCACATCCAGAATGTCTCTGCATGACCTGTGATATTATAAAACTAGACCATTAAATTTACTGAAATAAAAGGAACACACTCAATTCTGAAAATATAAAGAATGAAAATGTTTATTTTTCATTCTATAAATATAACAAAGAGCACATTTTATAGACATTTTGCAAGTCTGCTTTTTCATTTACATACTTGAATTTTGCATACTTGAAAACAGTTTTTAATAGGCACATATTAAAATACACATTTAACTCACTGCGTATTTCTCAACATTTAAAAGGGAAAGGAAACTTAGCAACCATTTTGTATTAGTAAAGTGTATTTATGCATCATGTGTATTATATTTTTTATGCTTAGTCACTAGTGCAAGAAGTGTAACAGCTACCCCACTTTATAAATGAAGGTAGTAGAGCTTAAAGAAATTACATGGTTGATCCCAAATTCTAGGGCTAGAATTGAGCCAGGGCTGTCTAACCTGTTATACCACATACCCTGTAGCTAAAACCTCATCATCTGTGACACACAGATACGGTTAATGCCAATCCACAGTGATTTAGTTTCTGTTATCATGATGTATATCTTCACATGATGATAACTGACATTCATTGCATGTATTTACTATTCTGAAGCATTTCCAGTGAGTGTGTGACTACATACACCCAAAGAGACGCACACTTTTAAACCTACACACATATGCAAAGACAATGCACGCACAGCAAAAGTATCCATTTATTTGATTTCAGAGTATTAAGTAGAATCTGGAAATGACAAACAGAAAATGCTCTAGTAAATTAAGTAGCTGTTCTTTTAAAAATGAGGATAAAAATGAGGCTTAGATAATCCAGTTTCTAAATATATTTTAATTAACCCAACAACCCCAAAAGCACATTAGCAGAGAGCTTGAATTCTTCTTACTCTCTGACTTTTCAGAGTTATACTTTGCTGTTTAATACATAACTTTTTCATTTCTAATTTTCCTTTTTAAAATAAATGCCACTGTTCATCAAAACGAATCAGTTCAATATAGAAGAGTCACATAAATATCAGAGAAACAAAAAGACCCCACCTCCAACTCAACCAAACATTTTTTTTTCAAACTCTTTAAAAGGAAATGGGTCAAAAATATTCTGCTCTGCAGATAGTTGGCATCAGCCAGGAAAAATAATATGTCATAATTCAGCCTGCCAGTTCCATGCTCAAATTTTCTGGAACACAACTGGTGCCTAAGACTGTAAATGTGAGCAGGGCAGTGTGCTCCTCCTCTGTGTGGCTCTGAGCAACGACACGAGAAATCAGCGTGCTTGTTCCTCTGTGACATCATTGCTGAGTGTATGCTCAGCACTTTCTGTGGGCCTACTTCAGATGCAAATATACATCAGACTGTCAAGTTTTGCCATAATTGTTCCACTCTAACTAACCATCACTGCAACCCAGTTTGATGCCCATTCCATAGAGTTATGGACACCTAACTTGAAGATAGGAATACTCTGTGGATATTTTATAATAAAGAAAATAAAACGCATATTAGATTTGTATGCAATGACTGGTGCATATATTTTATAAGTAGAATAAATGTAAATTAGATTTGTATGTCATGAAGCATACTGCACGAATACTTAAATCTGTTATCCTATCATCATCAGTTAAGCTTCAAATATTTGTGAAATTAGATAGATTATTTTTGAGCTAAATTATATTTTTAATCCTTAAACCTATTGAGAAAAATCATTTCTAGCCATATGTAACTCTTTCTGTTTCTACTAAAATTTTCTACATTTTGGTTAAAATATTTGTAACAAAGGGGACCCTGTGACAAGTTTGTATCTTTCACCTACAATTGAGAATAAAGAAAAGTACATTTTAGCAAAAATAAAATTAAGATTTTCCTTAAATATGTAGAAATTTGATACAAAGTAAATTTTGATTCTTTACATTTTGACCACTACAAATTTTTGTTGTTAAATTATCTTGGTGTTATATCACTTTCTGTAATAATGGTCTGTTGTTCCCAAAACAATTTACCTGCAATTCTTTGCCTTAGGCTCTATCTGGCCTCTGGTGCATGTGCTAACCTGGTGTTAGCCTAAAACTTAGCCCTTATTTTTTTAACCTGGCTTTTATAAGGGTCATGAACTCATAAATAATCATTAGACACCAAATGCTTCATAAAATTCATAGGCTTTCCCAATCATCAACTCTATACAAAACTTCTGGTATTATCTTTCAGTGTTCTGTCAAGTGTGGCAAAGGTGTTCGCCATCGAACTGTCAGGTGTACTAACCCAAGAAAGAAATGTGTCCTCTCCACCAGGCCCAGGGAGGCTGAGGACTGTGAGGACTACTCCAAGTGCTACGTGTGGAGGATGGGTGACTGGTCCAAGGTGAGCACCATTTTGTACATACCCCGTAATAGCTTCAATAATGTCAGCATTGCCCTGGGAACCATGACCATCGATTATGCAATTTCAAAGGGTTAGAGGGTTGGAGCTGAATAACAGATCTGTACTGTTAATGTACTTTGGTTCAAATTCTGGCTATCTATGCTATTGACCTGTATAGAATTAAATAGCTAATAAGTGCCCTTAATAAAGTACTAACAAAACTCAGACTTAAAGTTCTGGTAAGAGCTGAGCGAAAAGTCTAAACTACAGGTTTTAAGAAACACAAGTATATTACAAATGATTCCATATTTATTTCTGATGTTATATACTCATGATCACAGAACATAAAATTCTGTGGCCCAAATGAAACATAATGGGTCCTTTATCCTTATTGTATAAATGGAAAAAATGCAGCAATGCTGAGCACAGTGGAGATCATTAAAAAATAATCTGAAGAATATTGTGGGAGAAACAATCTCAGTATATAAAGCATTGTGACCATCTAGCAGTCTCAGTGTGGCCACTCATGAAGCCCTAAACACTTATAATCTAAACTATTTGTGTGATTATTCATGATTTTCCTCTTTAACAAGATTTGCACATCATGTATCTGAGGTCACAATGAACTGTACTCTCCATTACTTTCAAACTGAAAATGTACACTGGAATTCTTGGGAGATGCATTTGTAAACATTGTGAATCTACCTTTGATTCTAACGGTAAGAACCGTTCAGTCCAGTCTGTGCAGCACTTGACTGGTGAACCCCATAAAGAAAGTAAACAGTGTTCAGGCTGCAGAGGATTCTGAGTTAATCAAAGATAGTTTTGCTTATGCTCAAGATTTATGTTTTCCCTAATTCTAAAGGAAAGGAATAGAGTTGCACGATAAGGAAATATTTTGGTTTAGAAAGCAAGAGTTACAGGGACATTTGGATGGCCTCTTTTTGTGGAGAAGTAAATTGATTACACCACTGAATATTTTGCGTACTTGTTACTCTGTCAGTAAAGTAACAGAAACACACAACAGCAGTGTGTTAAGCTATTTGTATCCTAACTCGGCATTCATCACTGAAGGGATAGTAAAGGGAAAAAAGTAGAGAAATCACTGGTTAAAAAGAAAGGTAAGATTATCTGTTGCTCTTTTTCTATTGCAGCGAGTTATTTATTTTAGCTAGTGAAATTTTAGACATATTCAATAAACAATTCTGTCAAAGAAAAACTTTGAAAGCTGCTAAATGTGTATGTATATATACATTTTTTTTCAATTTTGGTGATGAACACAACCATTTTAAACCATAGGTATTTTTAATCTTCAATTAACTACAAAGCCCAAAGGATATAAGTATAAAAAACAAAAGAACACCATATTTTTTGCTATATTTGAAATGAAATGAGAAACCTATACAATGAGAAGCATACAGAACCAGAATTAGCAGTTCTTAGTTGCATGACAAACTATTACGTTTGATTAATAAAGCACACCTCTTTTGTGACCTTTAGTTAAGCCTTAAGAAAAATCAATATTAACTAGAGAGATCATGAAAATAATTAATTTTGTGTGTGTATGCTAGATTTGAAAAAAATGTATCTTTTATTCTGTCGCAATTATATAGGCAGTTCTTAAATGTCATAGGAGTAGGTTAATTTTAACTGGGTTTATTGTGTGACTGAGGGGTAATAAATGGGTGATTCCAATAGATACTAATCTTTGTTTTAAACTATTTTGTTCGCTGTTTCTTCCTCTGCTTATTTAGAAGATCCACTGTGCTGTGGTGGTTTTTTCTGTCCTGTTGCAGTTTTTCTTCACATGAATATGTCTTCTCTTTTCCTTAAAGACATTTTTCCCCCTTACTTTGAGGTCTCAGCATCTCAAATTCAAATGACAGTGTGCACAAATTAAAACCAGTGGCTCCATATGAAATTTATTGATTTCACTCTTCCTTTTAAACTTCTAAGATATCACTTTCATGTTAAAATAAAGACCATCCCAAAACAATTACAGAGAAAGGGAATATGGTTGTGATGATTAAGTTTCAGTGATTAAAGTATTCGGGGACAGAAAAAAACACATAGATGTCTTATTTTTATCAGCTGTGTGCCTGGAACGGAAATGGCTACAAGATGTCTGCATTTGTGACGGGATTTCTGTGCTCCTCTGAGAGCTATTAATCTGTCAACTTCACTCAAATTAAACTCATATTTTTAAACTACAGAAATCAATACACCTAAGAGCACTGATAATTGATCGTTGTGTTAGCTTTAATCAGGAATATTCTGCCACTATCTGCAGAATGTAGCACTGGACACCCACTTCTGTCTTGATAATATAGATGTATCTTGAGGTTCTCCCATTGTCTGAGGGTCACTGATCAGTACTGGGAAAAGAAAATGTCAGCTAAATTGAAGAAAAGCCTATAGCGTGTGCCTCAGACTATGTTCACTGCATTTGTTTGTATCAGCCTGTGTGATTACTAGAATCCATATTTTGAGTAGTTCTGTTTAAAAAAAAAGAAAGTAGAAGAATTGCTCTCAGCTGGAAAGGGATAAAAGAAGTTCCAGGTGTGGTAAAAGAGAAAACTCTGCGCTACAAAATTGTTACCACTGGTTTTTAAGTAGATGTAAGGCAACCTTGAACATTACTCATTTTTTTTTTTTCATTGAGACTAGAAGGTGGATTAGAGAAAGGGAGGAGAGAGAACGCGAGGAGGAAAGGTGGAGGGAGAAAGAGAGTCTTGCTGCTTTGCTCTGGCTTAGGTTAACTGTTGATGCAATTACGTGTCGCATTCTGACCACGTCTCTAATATGGATATGGCCTTAAGATCTTTACTGGATGAGAAAAGCTTGACCTGGCAACATAAATCTGCATTCACTCATTAGAGCTGTCCTAACTTTGGAACACTGAATTGAAAAAATAACATAGTTCTTTGGGTTAAACACGATGACATATTTTCTGCCTGAAGGTGACCTTTTGCCTTTATTTGAACTTCTACAACTTCTGGTATTCATTACTGGAGGTAAGCAGAAAAGCAAATGAAAAGTTTGCTTTATCTGCTAGATACAAAGAGTTTGGTCTTTATGAAGCTTTCACAAAGCTAACATTTCCATTTAGTACTTGGAGTGGTTTATAATAATTACAATTGCAATTATTTTAATGATAAATTAGATACTTTAGAATTGCAAATAACTACTCTTGGTTTATTCTTAAGATCATAACTCGATAATTCAAATTTATTGAGTCCTTTAAAATTCTGGAAAATATAGAGCTTTGGCCACATGTCAAATTATGACATTATTAATAGGTACTTGGACTAGAGATTATGAGTCTATTGTGATGATGTAATGCTGGTGGCACAGTAAATCATTGGATGATTTGCTTGTGTGGCTAGTTGGATGTATCTTTTTTTAGAAGAGGTAGATATAAAGCTTGGGATACAATGAGTCATTTACAGCTTTTCCTGCAAAATGAAAACACAACCATTTTCAGCATGTTCACTTGCATAGAAGAGGAATGAAATAGATGAAGAATCTAAGAACTAAGGTAATTCTTGTTAATGAATAAGGGCAATATATTAAATACCGGTACATTCTTTCTAACCATAAAAATTGCAATTAAATGAGAATTCTACTTATTTTGAAGTCATACTCCCAGTAAAGATTTTGTAAATTTCAAAATGGTGTTTTATACTTCGTTTGGATCTTCTCCTGAAAAATATATTGAATGTTTAATAATTTATTTCTTTTTTTTTTTTTTTTTATTTAAGAGGAAAAAGAGAAAAACACAAAACAAACCAAAGCGGCGTAAGGGTACACGCAATACAGAACTACAAAACAAAACAAAACAAAACGAAACAAAAAACCATAACAGTAAGAAATTACCTGCTAGTAGATTACACACTATTTTCTTGAAAATAGTTCCTCAAATCACAGTATCAAAGAACACAAGGTGGACATTCAAACAGGGAGACTGCAAACAGCTGTGTTCAATGTTCCAAAAACATTGATAAAGTCAGCTATTTAACACCCCCAAACACACTTGCTGTTATATCCGTTAGAGCTCTTTTTCTTTTTTTTTTTTCCCTCTCTTTTTTACAACAAAATTTACACATCTTGGATTTTATTACTCCTTAGTGCTTATTACTTTCTTTGGGGGGGGGGGGAGAATACAGTCAAATATGGCAAAACAAAGCTGTCAGTCAATACCAAGGATAGACATAGCACATGGTGTAGAACAGAGTACAAGTTTATCAACAATGGTTATCAACGTTGTCCCTTGTTTCCTTAAAAAGAATTGTCTATCTTATTAGATATTATAAAGTTGGACAAAACAGTAGAGAACAAGACCAATAAAACTTAGGCATTGTAAACATTACAGGACTTCCAAAGAAGACAATAGTCAAACCAGAATGGGTATCTTAGTGTATCTTATTGTCATCAAAGTAGTTGCCTATGTCTTCAAACTTGATACTATCATATAGAATGGAACAGAGTCTAATCAGTCAAAACAAGATCGTGGGAGTACTACAGGACTTCAAAACAAGTTAATAGGAAATCGAAAAGAGTTACTATTTATATATCCTAATTTTTTTGAATTTTTTCTTTAATTAAGACAAACATAAGAAATGACTAAATAATTTTTTTTGAAACAATAAGGGGGAGATTGAGATAAAACAGGACATAACAATATAACAATAGAGGTCACAGCATGACTGTTTCAATAACCTAGTACTTCACCACTATATAACCTGATTTAATAGTAGTTACCATAGTGTCTTTTTCCTTGAAATATTTGGGTAAAACTTCATATACTCTAGCTTCAAATATTTTCATATCAAGAAGCCCAGAATAAAGCCTTTCTAATTAATGAGTGAAAACTTTATAAGGCTTCAAGGCCACCTAATGGGGAATCATGATTACCACATATTTTTATATATTTGAATCATTACTTATATTAGGGAAACTATTCGGTATTCACACATGCGAGATTGATTTATTTCACTTAT